TTACTATGGGGGATGAATTACTATGGGGGATGAATTACTATAGGGGGGATGAATTACTATAGGGGGGATGAATTACTATGGGGGATGAATTACTATATGGGGGATGAATTACTATGGGGGATGAATTACTATATGGGGGATGAATTACTATATGGGGGATGAATTACTATGGGGGATGAATTACTATATGGGGGATGAATTACTATATGGGGGATGAATTACTATGCTTACTATGGGGGAATATTACTATACTTACTATGGATGACACATACACATCATTCATCTACTCTTGGTCCGGCCCCCGGGTCCAATATATGAACCCATTGCGGCCCTCAAGTCAAAAAGTTTGCCCACCCCTGGCCTAGTGACAGGAAGTGGTTAAAGGAATATTCAGATGTGGCAGCTGCAATCAATGCTGTCATATCTATGCATCCAAACAAATAAGACTACTGAATGGGCAACGTTTTTTTTTCCAAAGCATTTTGTAAATTGTTCAACAATATTATTATTATTATTATTACTATTATACAGGATTTATATGCGCCAACAGTTTGTGCAGCACTTTACAATATAAGGGAGACAGTACAATTACAATACATTTCAGTACAGAAGGAATAGGAGGGCCCTGCTCGTGGAGCTTACAATGTAAAGGAAGGGGGAGGTGGTACAAAAGGTGATAGCTGTAGGTGATGTTCTGATGGAGGTGAGACAAGTACAGTTCTTAGGTGGAGGTGGGGTAGGCTTCCCTGAATAGGTGAGTTTTCAAAGATCGCCTAAAGGCAGACAGGGTGGGGGCTGACCGGACATACTGCGGTAGGGAGTTCCAGAGGGTGAGAGGCTCTGGAGAAGTCCTGGAGGCGAGTGTGGGAGGAGATGACAAGGGAGATAGAGAGCAAGATGTCTTGTGAGGAGTGGAGTGGAGTGGGCGATTTGTATGATATCTGTGGAAGAGGGTGGTGATGTAGCTAGGGGCAGTGTTGTGGATGGCTTTTTTATGCTGTGGTTAGTATTTTGAATTTTATACGTTGGGTTAGTGGAAGCCAGTGAAGGGATTGGCAGACAGGGGCAGCAGTCACTGATCGGTTGGTAAGGTGTATGAGTCTAGCAGCAGCATTCATAATAGACTGAAGGGTGGGAAAAATGGTAGACTAGTGAGGAGGGAGTTACAGTAATCAAGGTGGGATAAAACCAAGGCGTGGACAAGTTGTTTTGTGGTGTCATTGGTCAGAAAGGGCCGGATTTTGGAAATGTTCCGAAGGTTGAGGCGGCAGGATTTAGCCAGTGGGGAGTAAAGAGATAGATCTGGGTGTCATCAGCATAGATGTGGTATTGAAAGCCATGGGAAGTTATCAATTGGCCCTGGGAGGAGGTGTAGAGAGAGAAAAGGAGGGGCCCAAGGACAAAGCCTTAGGGTACCCCAACATTAAAAGGGAGAGGAGTGGAGGAGGAGTTGTATGTGACGCTGAAAGTGCAGTGAGAAAGGTAAGAGGAGAACCAGGAGAGAACAGAGTCACGGAGGCCGATGGAGTGGAGTTTACTGAGGAGGAGTGGATGGTCGACTGTGTCAAAGGCAGCAGAAAGGTCTAGGAGTATGAGTATAGAGTAATGGCCATTGGTTTTAGTAGTTAGTAGGCCATTAGTGAGTTTTAGTAGTAGAGTTTCAGTGCAATGTTGTGGGAGGAAGCCAGACTGTAGGGGATCAAGAAGGTTGTTGTCGGTGAGGTAGCAGTTCATACGGTTGTGAACAAGGTGCTCAAGAATCTTGGAGGCAAACGGGAGCAGAGAGATGAGTCTTAAGTTATTCAAACAGATGGGGTCCAGTGAAGGTTTTTTAAGTATGGGGTAATCAGTGCATGTTTGAGCGGGGAGGGAAAGGTTCTCATGGAGAGTGAGAGGTTGAAGATGTGGGTTAGAGAGTTTAGGATAGAGCAGGAAGGAGGCTGCAATAATCAAGAGGGGACAGGGTCCAGGGGACAGGTGGTGAAGTAAGCCTTGGAAAGGAGTTCTGTAACTTCCTCGGTGGTAACTGGGTCGAAGGAGGAGAGTTTTGAGTGTGGTGTTGGACCTGGTATGTTGGCTGGAGGAGGAAGCTTGGCAATAGTAACAGTGATATATTTGTTGCAATGTTCATGTAATGCATTTTGCATGGGTAAAACTAAAAGGTAACTCGTAGGAGGATTTATGACCATGTAAGAGATATCGGTATCACAGAGAGTTGGAAACACTGAATAGATAACACACAAGGAAGGATCATTACTTCCTATCTATGTAAAGTCAAAGAATATACTGATCTGCAAGTTATCATACCCTCTGCACTCTAGTTTTTGCACATACCACCCCCATGATACCACCATACTCCTCTCCTGCACCTTCATACTCTCCACATTTCTCTTCTGCATAGACTTCCCACTGTCATACCCTCAACACTCCTCTCCTTTACATATTGCCTGTTGTCATACTTTCTACACTTCTCTCCTGCACATGCTGCTTACTATCATATACTCCACAGCCTCCTCCTTCACATATTGCCCATTGTTATACTCTCTACACTTCTCTCCCATCATCATACCCATGCATGCTTCTCCTGTACATATTGCTTCCAATCATACCCTTTGAACTCATATCCTATCATATCCTTTTTATATTCCTTACCTGTCATATCCTCCATACTCCAATCCTGCACATACTGACCATTGTTGTACTTCTGCATTCCTTTCCTGATTTACCATTGTTTGTTTTAATCTCTACCTCACTGTTCTGGGACAGGTACACTTTTGTTAGTTTTACGTTATATATAATAATACTATGAATAATTTCATTATTATTCAAATACAGCACACAAATTGCTATAATAAAACAAAGGTTAGCTACTCACATCTTCTCACGTGCCTTTTTGGTGGCTCTTGAGCCTCTTTTGAAAATTCCTCTGCATAAAAACACATAGATAGTTTGTCTTATATGTTTGTCTTCACAACTTTGTTGATTAGGGCTCACACATAAACACCACAAGATGTGTGCAGTGCAATCCCTAAAAATGTAATGGTCCTGATCACAAAGACTGTCAATCAGCAAATACACAGGACGCTACATATATATTTCATTTAGTGACTGCAATAGCAGCTTCTGTTCCTTCTGAAGTTTTTTTCCACAGCCATTCCAGGTGACTTTCCCCTCCCTATAATGTGTACACCAATCAAATTAAAAGGACTCTACTTGTTACCATCAATGTGAAGTTACTTCCAGGGATTATACAAAAAAATGGAAACACTACATGATTTGAAGGTGTGAAAGTGCTGACATGTTTTGCGTTGAAAGTGGAAGTGATGTAACATTCTTTTGCTTCCGCTGTGTGATGAGACACCTAGCTAACAGGAGGGAAGCCTCATTTTTGTCATTCACTGTGTACACTACTAGTAAAATGGAGTCTGGACGGAGTCTACTGAGCTTCAAAGAGGCAAATTGTTTGGTGCCCACTTAGCTGTTACCTTTGTGACTGAAGTTGGCAATGTATATGCTGTGTCTCAAGGTACAGTATTAAAGGTTATGACAACATATACAGTTTTTAGGAAAACTTTGTCTGCCCTCTTTGAAGCTCAGTAAGCTCTGACATGATGTATTGCTAGCAATGTAGCAATGCACGCAGTGAATGACGAAAGTGAGGCTTCCCACCTGTTAGCTAGTTGTCTCATCACACAGTGTAAGCAAAATAATGTTACATCACTTCTGCTTTCCACCTGCAAATCATGTAGTGTTTCTATTTTTTTGTCTAACCTCTGTATATGAAAAGAGTACTTAGCATAGCTGTCGTTTCATGTAATATAAAAAATAGGGTGAGCTGTCGTTGTGATTGAGTGTAATGCCTTCTTAGATTTCTTTTTATTTATTCCTGTGCTTTGGGAAGGGACTTAAGATGTGCACCCTTTACACAGGAACAGGTCTTCTTACAGACAAACAGTATACTTAAGAATGGATACACCATACTACTGCTTAATATTCCAGATATAGTTATATTAATAATATTTATTTACATTTATTTATATTATGTTTTTATTGAGTTTTATAACTGAAATAGAGCAATGATATTTTCTTTACATAGGTTTACAGTTAGTACAATAGCTTATATAGGATTTTATATTATTATATGGGATTGCGTATACTACCACCAAACCTCTATGAGGTCTTTTTGGCCTATGCTGTTCCCTTATTGACTGTTTGGTAAAGCCCCTCCTCTGTGATTAACATGCTGGATGATGGAATCTATTCACCACTGAGAACTTTATTGTAATCTGAATGAAAATGTTGGGTTATTGCTGTACAAGAGGTAGGTCTTTTGGCCCTTATACAAAATTGTATGCTATTTTTGATACAATATGATACAAATAATCTGTGATTTGCATTGCAGATTACTGTCTGCGGTTTACTGAAGAAGCAGCAGCCACTGACCCAAGAAATGTGCTCAGTATTCGATACCCCAATACCTACTTGAAAGAAATAATGGAATTACGTAATGCGAATTAACTAATATAGTTGAATATCAGTGTTGGAGTATCTGGGGTCAACTGATGTATATTAAGCTTATATGTACGTGGAAAAGCTTTTAACATGTATTTTATATCAATATCTCTAATGATGTGAATAAAATATGCAATTTTATATAATGTTGTTAAGAGCTGGTACATTTAAAGTCCTGTAGTTTTTCTGTGTTAGGGTTTTTTGTATACATTTAATTATGGATGTGGTATTATTTAATAATAATATAGACATTTATATGCCCCTCTCTTTTTGGTTTTGGATAGTTTTTCTGCCTAAAGGTCAGACAAACATTTAAAAAGGTGGCCAATGTGTTTTGAGGCTCAAAAAATGCCCCTTCATCAGTGCTTGGAATAGAAGACAGTTCATAGGACTGAATATTACCTGGAACCTGGGTGGTGGTATTTTCACAAGGTCCTCTAAGCAGCGGGTTTGGCTGCTTTATTGTATTGAGCAGTGTTGTGGTGCTTCAGCTCTTATTAATACTGTATTCCATTGGCTGTAGAAGCTGCCTGCTGAGTGGCCAGATCACCTATACCGGGTGTCGGCAACCCGCGGCTCCAGAGCCGCATGCGGCTCTTTTTCACCTTTGCTGCGGCTCTGGAGCACACTGCCCACCAGGTGACAGGCAATAGGGTTTCAGCGTGGCAAACATTGGCTGTCAGGATGTAGGCGGGGCAGCATGACAAACTCCTCTCCTCTCACAGTCCGCCCTGAAGACCGGAACGGCGCGGGATACATTGGCTGTCAGAATGTGTGTAGGCGGGGCAGCGTGACGAACGTGAGGGGAGCTAGGCTCCTCTCACAGTCCGCCCTGAAGACCGGAACGGCACGGGAACACGGCGAGAGGAACGCGCGGAGCAAAGGTAAGTGAATTGACACAATATGGGGAATGAATTACTATAGGGGGGGATGAATTACTATATGGGGAATGAATTACTATAGGGGGGATGAATTACTATATGGGGAATGAATTACTATGAATTACTATGGGGGATGAATTACTATATGGGGGATGAATTACTATGGGGGATAAATTACTATAGGGGGATAAATTACTATAGGGGGATGAATTACTATATGGGGAATGAATTACTATAGGGGGGATGAATTACTATATGGGGAATGAATTAATTACTACTATAGGGGGGATGAATTACTATGGGGAATGAATTACTATAGGGGGGGTGAATTACTATGGGGGGATGAATTACTATATGGGGGATGAATTACTATGGGGGATGAATTACTATATGGGGATGAATTACTATATGGGGGATGAATTACTATGGGGGATGAAATACTATATGGGGGATGAATTACTATGGGGGATGAATTACTATGGGGGATGAATTACTATATGGGGGATGAATTACTATGGGGGATGAATTACTATATGGGGGATGAATTACTATGGGGGATGAATTACTATATGGGGGATGAATTACTATGGGGGATGAATTACTATGGGGGATGAATACTATGGGGGATGAATTACTATATGGGGGATGAATTACTATGGGGGATGAATTACTATATGGGGGATGAATTACTATGGGGGATGAATTACTATATGGGGGATGAATTACTATGGGGGATGAATTACTATGGGGGATGAATTACTATATGGGGGATGAATTACTATGGGGGATGAATTACTATGGGGGATGAATTACTATATGGGGGATGTATTTTCAGTTTTAAAAATGTGGCTCTCAAAATAAAAAGTATGCATTTGGAGTGCTGTCGATCTTCGGCTCCACATATGTATGTGAGCAGGTCTTCTCCAACATGAACTATATTAAAAACAAACATCGATCACGCCTCACAGATGACAGCTTGCAAGCCTGTGTGAAAATGAAGGTGACGTCTTACAGCCCTGATGTGCAGACACTGTGCACTGAGGTTCAGGAGAAAAAAATCCCATTAACCAGATAAATTAAATATTTTAATTAGCTATTAATGTGCAAAAATATATTTTACATTGTTAAGTGAAAAAGTTCTTTTTTTCTTCAGATTGACAGCTAACTGCACGATCCTGTATATAGCATTAAGGTAAGAAACAATATATGCAGTGTCGGATTCGTTTTAAATGTTGCAATGGTTTTGCGGCTCCCAGTCTTTTTTTTCCCTTCGGAAATGGGTCCAAGTGGCTCTTTATGTCTTAAAGGTTGCAGACCCCTGACCTATACCAACATTAATATAATGCTGTCAGATAGCAGTGGCTAGTTGCCAAGGGTCAGGGTCCCTAGCACTGTATAGGCTCCAACAATTAAAATGTATCATGCATAGTACTCTGTTGTTTTTGCACTAACATGGCTACAATTTCATTTTACCTTTAAAAAGTATGTATATCACAAGACTGGGTCAACAAAATTACTACAGCTATGACAAATAAACATACAGATAATTTAGTGGTGCATTTAGTCATCTGCCCGGAGTTCTTCTGCCGGTCTAGCCTGTAAGAATGACATGGCCCTACAGCACTCTCGGCAGAATAACCCAAGTCCATTCATAAACAAAATAAAGCATGGAGACATGGATGGAAGGGTGAGTTTGCTTTGCATATTAAAAATGAATTAATTAGTGTTCTGGGTTTGTGGAGCTCAGATACAGTTAAAGTATAAATAAATGCAAAACTTTTTTAGTTTCAGATAGAGGGAAGAGGGATTAGAACACCTGTCAGTTTCTATTGCTGTCTTTGCCTCCATTAAGGAGATTCACCTTCTCTATTTGTTCTCTTTACGGTTATTGAAAGTGAGAGTAAAAGAAATTCCCAAATTTTGGGTTGTCTCCAGAAAAGTAATAAAGGCAAAATCTTCCAATGGGGGCACTAGTTCTGGTGACCTGGGGGTCCCCAAGAAATTCCCTTAATTTGCTGGGATTTCCTCTCACTCCCTGTTTGGCTATGAGACAGGAAGTGAAGGGAAATCTCTACAAAGGGACTAAGATGGTGAAAAAAATCTGACAGGGTCTATAACCCTCCCTTGCTCCATCCAAAACTAAAAAAAAAGGTTTTGCCTATAGTTCTACTTTAAGTTCCATTTTAATGTTGTAGGAACAGAAAAAAATTATACATTCCTGATTTTGTTTTTTAAATTTGAGTTTTGTAAACTACTCCTTTGATTTTTACTTACTCAGTAAATCTTGCAGTTGGTCTTTATTTTCTTCATCAATTTTTTCATCATTCACATACCGTAAAAGTCCATTAAAATCTATAATAGAAAAAACAGAATTGTTGTACTCACTGTAAAATTCTTTTCCCTGTGAAATTTTAGGGACATGGCTTTATTCATTAAACATGCTTCCTGCAGGAGGAGGATGCTGGGTTAAAAAAAAAGCAGCCTTTGCATATCTGGTGGTCATGCCCGAGACTGTTTCGTTTTTGGTCTCGTGTGTTTGGCTTCTTTTTCACCTTGTTCCATCTCTCCATACGCCGGGATGCTCGGTGTGCCTTGCTTCATTGCCCCATACCGGGCCTCTTGGCTCACCAGCAGAAGTAGGCTTCCTATTTGTTTTTATCGGCTACTAGAACAATTGCTCAGGCCTGGAAGAGTCAGTTTTTCCCTCTTCAGGGGGTGCGGGATCGTATGACCACTATGATGCTTAACGAACAGATGGCGAGTATCTGCAACGACTCCCAACGTAAATATTTGAAAATATGGGAGCCGTGATTGCAATATGCCTTTCCCACGCTCCCCCTGCTGGTCTGGGGATGTAATGGCGTTTGGGATTGGCGCTCTTGGACCCCTGCTCTTTTTTTTTTTTTTCTTCCTTTCTCTCTTTGTTTGTTTTTGGTGTGTGACAGTGGACAGCTACCTTTAGTTGTTATAGTCAGTTACATTAATGTTTTGTAACTTATGTGTAATTGATAGCCCCTGCGTGGGCGTACCTTTTGCCCTGTTGGCGTTAGAGCACTGTTTTTTTAATTTTTTTTTTATTTTGCATTTTTTTTATCTGTGCAAGTGATAGCCCCTGCATGGGCGTGTTTTGTTGCCTCTGTTTTATACTGTTTAAAAATTAATAAAAACCATTGAAATATAAAAAAAAAAAAGCAGCCTAAAGAGGCAGCAACACTCAATGGCTAACTTTGCGGAAAGAGAGCTCAGTTAATAGCAAGCAGTAAGAGAAGCATAAACTTTAACACAGGCAACAGGTCAAGCAAAATATTAGCAGTTCAGAAGCTGTGTCCTCCAATGAACTCACAGAAAAGAATTTTACAGTAGGTACAAAAATTATATTTTCTCGTTCATTGAGTGATACAGCTTTGTTAATTAGACAAGCAGAACATCCACAAAAACATTACCCATAGCAGGTAGTCAGAAAACACCAACAAAAATATAAAGATGCCTAAGCCCACATTGGATGAATCACTCCACCAGCTGCACAACCTTGTGGCAAAACTACATTCTGCCGCAACAACCTTATAGAGATTAGCTAAGGCATTCTCTAAAGTCCAGTTTGCCGCATTAGAGACCTGAGACATAGAGACTAGAGGGCAGAAACCCATGAAGCACTAACTGCTCTGGTGGAATAAGTAGTAATGGGAAAAGGTGGTTTCTTATAATTCAAGGCATAAGCCTAAAAAAAAACCTGGCGTATCCACCTAGTGAAAGTGGAAGTTATATTAAAGGCAATTTATTTTCCCTAAAATGAAAAAGATGTTATAGTTACCTGCTCTAGGCAAAGATATTGCACAGAGAGGTCCTATACCTCCTCTTTAGCAGTTCCACATCAGTGCTGTCCACCCCTTCTCCTTCCAAAAGCCCCCTCAGCAAGCCATCAGCTAAGAGGGCACCCATGTGAGCATGCTCCTGAGCTGGGCTGTGTGCGTCCATACACACACAGTGTCAGCAAGCCACGTCCCCACTCCTTCCTCACAGGAGTTTGTAAGACAAGGAAGAGAGAAGGCTGAAGATGGAATGGCGCTGGAGCGGTGAGAGGTGTCAGGTAAGTGTTTAGGGTTGGAGGGGGTGGGGAAACAGTTAGTGGAGCATTTTTATCTTAATGCAAGGAATGTATTAAAGTAAAAAACATTTAGAGTTTAAAAATTCAAAGCTGCCATAGCTTTGGAAACACCCTCTGGATGTAAGAGGTGAAGGGGGCGGTAATGCATATCGGAGCATGCTCAATAGGCTCCTTCTTCAGGAGCATGCTCCAAAATGCATTACTGCCCCCTTCACCTCTTACATCCGACTCCGCACTCCAAGCTTCATTTTGATGCACAGGCACATCCTGGACTCTACTTCCTGATCCTATAGACAGAGTTTGCTGCTGGACGGCTGGATGTCCCACCTGGATCTTAATACATCACACGATGAGTCTTTTTAACTATTTATCTTGTAAGTGCAATTTATCCATTGTTTACTAAATAAATTGTCAATACTGCACTTAGAGGTGCCTTCCTCTCTTTTTCTTGTTACTGCATTAGAGCCTTGCTTCCACTCTAAGAAGAGCTGCCTCAGTGTTACTGCTCCCATCCATGCATCCATCCATCCCTGATATCCAACTGGCACCTTTTTCCTACAGCTACAGAGGTTGGGCTCCAACAAGCGCGCCCTATATAATATACATTTTCAATTCAGAAGCAGCTGCTGTTTGGGTATTCTGACAGCAACTGGCTGTCAGAACACAATAGCCACTGCCACAGTGGTAGAATCATCCATCTGAACTTTACAGAGCAGAGAGGGGAATCTGTTTAATTTTTTTCATTCAGCCTGACCTTCTGTAAGTTTCACTGAGCAAGGGGTGTACAAACAGGTATAACAACATGAGTCACTTCTTGTATGAAAGTGTGGAAAAAAATTAATAGCACTCAAGGTGAGGCATTCACCTTTTCTAATAAGTTGA